ATGACGACATGCCAATGGCAGACGAGCCACATGTCTCCGTCACCCAACATTAATCACCTAGCACGTCTCGCCACCTTTTCATTACTCGAAATTGCTACACACGCCTTACTTGTTACCACAATGCCATACAAATATATGATAAGTATTAAACAACATGGAGCATGATTATATTGACGTGTCCATAAAAAGGTTAAAGACAGTTACAGACAGCCTATGATAATCTTGGGCTTACAATTTCTGCAGAAAAGACCATAGTGTTTTAACTAACACATTCGTAACCGTAAAAGTGGACCATCAAAATTAAAGGTTAATGGCAGACCTACTGATTTTTTTTTTGTAGATGAATGGTTCAGAGAACCGACATGTTGATAAATTGATTTTTTTTATTATTTTTTATTATCACACTGGCCGATTCCCACCAAGGCAGGGTGGCCCGAAAAAGAAAAACTTTCACCATCATTCACTCCATCACTGTCTTGCCAGAAGGGTGCTTTACACTACAGTTTTTAAACTGCAACATTAACACCCCTCCTTCAGAGTGCAGGCACTGTACTTCCCATCTCCAGGACTCAAGTCCGGCCTGCCGGTTTCCCTGAACCCCTTCATAAATGTTACTTTGCTCACACTCCAACAGCACGTCAAGTATTAAAAACCATTTGTCTCCATTCACTATCAAACACGCTCACGCATGCCTGCTGGAAGTCCAAGCCCCTCGCACACAAAACCTCCTTTACCCCTCCCTCCAACCCTTCCTAGGCCGACCCCTACCCCGCCTTCCTTCCACTACAGACTGATACACTCTTGAAGTCATTCCGTTTCGCTCCATTCTCTCTACATGTCCAAACCCACCTCAACAACCCTTCCTCAGCCCTCTGGACAACAGTTTTGGTAATCCCGCACCCCCTCCTAACTTCAAAAACTACGAATTCTCTGCATTATATTCACACCACACATTGCCCTCAGACATGACATCTCCACTGCCTCCAGCCTTCTCCTCGCTGCAACATTCATCACCCACGCTTCACACCCATATAAGAGCGTTGGTTAAAACTATGCTCTCATACATTCCCCTCTTTGCCTCCAAGGACAAAGTTCTTTGTCTCCACAGATCCTAAGTGCACCACTCACTATTTTTCCCTCATCAATTCTATGATTCACCTCATCTTTCATAGACCCATCCGCTGACACGTCCACTCCCAAATATCTGAATACGTTCACCTCCTCCATACTCTCTCCCTCCAATTGATATCCAATCTTTCATCACCTAATCTTTTTATCCTCATAACCTTACTCTTTCCTGTATTCACCTTTAATTTTCTTCTTTTGCACACCCTACCAAATTCATCCACCAATCTCTGCAACTTCTCTTCAGAATCTCCCAAGAGCACAGTGTCATCAGCAAAGAGCAGCTGTGACAACTCCCACTTTGTGTGTGATTCTTTATCTTTTAACTCCACGCCTCTTGCCAAGACCCTCGCATTTACTTCTCTTACAACCCCATCTATAAATATATTAAACAACCATGGTGACATCACACATCCTTGTCTAAAACCTACTTTTACTGGGAAAAAATTTCCCTCTTTCCTGCAAAACTCTAACTTGAGCCTCACTATCCTCGTAAAAACTCTTCACTGCTTTCAGTAACCTACCTCCCCACACCATACACTTGCAACATCTGCCACATTACCCCCCCTATCCACCCTGTCATACGCCTTTTCCAAATCCATAAATGCCACAAAGACCTCTTTAGCCCTTTTCTAAATACTGTTCACTTATATGTTTCACTGTAAACCTGGTCCACACACCCCTACCTTTCCTAAAGCCTCCTTGTTCATCTGCTATCCTATTCTCCGTCTTACTCTTAATTCTTTCAATTATAACTCTACCATACACTTTACCAGGTATACTCAACAGACTTATCCCCTATAATTTTTGCACTCTCTTTTTTTCCCCTTTGCCTTTATACAAAGGAACTATGCATGCTCTCTGCCAATCCCTAGGTACCTTACCCTCTTCCATACATTTATTAATTGCACCAACCACTCCAAAACTATATCCCCACCTGCTTTTAACATTTCTATCTTTATCCCATCAATCCCGGCTGCCTTACCCCCTTTCATTTTACCTACTGCCTCACGAACTTCCCCCCCACTCACAACTGGCTCTTCCTCACTCCTACAAGATGTTATTCCTCCTTGCCCTATACACGAAATCACAGCTTCCCTATCTTCATCAACATTTAACAATTCCTCAAAATATTCCCTCCATCTTCCCAATACCTCTAACTCTCCATTTAATAACTCTCCTCTCCTATTTTTAACTGATTGTGTCCTGTAAATATTACTGTTCCATGTACACAAATAACTGTGAATGAAATTAACTAACAATGTGAGGACAGCTCTCAGTACAGTTATAGGGTATAATCCCAAATATGGTACACATGTCGACTCCATAAAGTAATGTGCTTAGCGTACATAAAAAGATCACCATGTACTAGTTTTAGTTTTGTAACACAGTAGAACCGTTGAAACATTCAAAGAAAACCGAGAGAATATTTCTGGATTGTCCTATAACCACAAAATAATTTAATACGAAGAAAGAATTAGGTATACCTAGTGCTACTGATAAAAAAACGTGAAATCAATGCCATGGTAGGACAAGCTGCTGTCTGGTGATCAAAATGTTGTCAAGTGTGTTACAAGAGCATATAATTCATGGGGCAAGTGAATCAAGATGGATTCAAATAACAGATATAGGAAAATCTTGGGACTATATGAACTATCATGATAGGAAAAACAGCATTTCCCGCCATCCTGGCAGATAACAGCTTTTGATATCACTGTCCAACTACCCTCCCACGAAATTAATCGTGCACAATCCTCAACTATGAGTACTTTGTAAAATCAGTGCTCTGGAACACAAAGAATACTATCACACAGACAGTCTACGCTGATGACTCCCTTAACCCTGACCAGTGGGTGGTTACCTGGTTACCTGGAGGTTACCTGGAGGTTATTCCGGGGATCAACGCCCCCGCGGCCCGGTCCACGACCAGGCCTCCCGATGGTGGGAGGGAAGTGTTATCGTAAACAAGCCTGATGGTATTAAAATACAGATATATATTAAAATTAATAACTAGACTTCCACCTCACAAACTGAGCTGTTTGCCATACTGCTACTACTTACTAAAGCTTATGGAAACTAGGACCGCATACAGTTTAACTGGAACCGACTCTCTTTCCTCTTTACTTGCTCTAAACAGCCTGAGACACGCATGCAGCATGCTTGTTTATGAAGCTATATATAGATATACAAATTAAGAGAGACTGCAGTTAAAACTTTGTGGATTCCCTCTCACATAGACCTCCAGGAGCATGAATGTTAATTAATTAGCTAAACAAGCATTATATAAAGAGAATGTTCAGTATAATTTTGTTTTGTTTAAACAGAAGTTTACCAAACACTGTCAGAAATGAGCTGGCAAAGAAGCTTGAACAAAGTAGGACATTACAGAGATAAACTAGCAGATCCATCATATGATGTGTGGAGAAAATAACAAGGCCTGGTCATGAACCGGGCCGCGGGGGCGTTGATCCCCGGAATAACCTCCAGGTAGGTCAGTAAATTTCATGAAGTTCCTACTTGGCTGACGCTAGGCTATAAGTGTGTCTCTCTCTCTCTCTCTCTCTCTCTCTGACACTAAAGATTGTGTGGCGTTGTCAATGGCAGTGTGAGTGTGTGGACCGAGACAGCCATACATTGACCAGTGCATTATATCTTATGTCCAAATATTTAACCTTTCAGACACACCTACATGCAAACCTTACAGGATACGAGAAAACGACTCATTATTAATTATAAAATATTTGAAATCTTGAGGTTGTATCAACATTTTGCACCAATCGCATGAATGAACGGTTTTTATTGAGATTACAACCCAATTATGGCCAATGATTTTTAGTGGTTATTAGTTTTTTTTTTCTTTGAGATTGTATATATAAAGTAATCGTAAAATATGAAATGACCAATATTTCTATCTAATGATATAACAATACCTAGTGGAGTCTGACAAAAGATCCACTGTGACGTCTGTAATCCTGATTTTTGCGCCACCGCTCATAGGAGGAGCATGGAGTACACAAACTAGCCGCTTAGGCTTTGTTTAATTACTAAGACGAAAACTGTCTTCCAGTTTCGAGGTCTGTGCTACTCTCACAACCAGCTTGGCTTGAGGCCGCTAGCACAAAGAGCCTGAATGACCAAGCAGTCAATAGGAAAGCCTGGCCTCAGGCCGGGTTACAGGAGTAAAGAGCCCTTTAAACAGGTCACAGATAAAAAGGTAAAAGTGGTTATGTCAGTAGTTCACAGTACATATACAACACTGTTGTTCTGAGTGGTTATCTACTATGCACCCCTCAAGCGATAGGATTTCAATCATGGAAATATTTACAAGCGTGGCGAAAGTCAGTGTTGAAAACGCGGGTAGGAAAGTCTGAGTCAAGAGCCTGTGACATCATTGTTCTGTGCTCACAACGAACCTCCCCGTCTTAAATTTCGCCAGAAAAAAAGAGTTATCTGCCATGTGTGTACACAACACTAGCAGCTAACCACAAGAGTAAATGTTCCAATCATGTAGGGGCAAATATAGTCGTAGTAGCTGTTCAGCAAATACCGTATATTGCGGTATTGTGCCTTTGTGTTCTTTACCGTATACTGTTAGGTCGAATCTAGATAGCATTCTCTTCACCCTCCTTGCTGAATGAACATAATACCACAAGAGTGATCATGAATCTCCAGTCAGCTGAAGAGTCATACAATATACCTTTGAAAGAGTTTCGAGAGTTTACCTACTCTCTGAGCCCGGCCATGGACCAGTATGACAGGTCTCCATTTAACGTGACATACCTGTGACCAGTTTCGAGATTTTACCCTATTAAAAGTATACATGTAAGTTTTTCTCCGTGTACTCTCAAACTGACACTCGACAGATATATACTCACCACTGTAATGGGGTAGGCGGGATTCAGAATGGTCATAAGCAGCACATGGTTGGGCGTTTCTGGCTCCCCTTTCCTGGAAGAAATAACATACATGAACAAAATAAACACTTAAAAGTTTACTCGCTGTCATAATGCAATATATATATATATAGACAAAGAATAGTGTTATTTTTAGTGGTGGAGGGTAGCCTGGAAGCCTTTAAAATTTCAAGAGCACTTTGACCTAGATCTTTCAAAACTCTTGGCAATAAAAAAAATACAACACACACGGACGTTAAAGGTAAAACTAGCAAACAAAACCACAAACGCAAAATAAATACTATTACGCCAGGTCGAAATAACCATACAAAACTAATAAACATTTATCAGTTAAAATAACTGACAAGTAAAAAATCTCAACAAACTGTTAATGTCAAAAGACTCGCCTAAAAGCTTACATAGGTCACTACATGTACTCCAGTAATTATGAAACAACGAAGCAAGCAAATAAGCTTAAGTCGAGGCAAACTTAAAATATTTTCCGCAGTCGGCTACACGCCACAAGCTACGAGAGGGGAGCTGGAGCACCTGCGAAGAGGTGTGCTCGAAACTCAAGAGTTGTCTGTAGTAGTAATGATATTTATGAAGCCCTTTGACCTCTTAGGTCACTCAATGCTCACAGGAATAAAATATACACCATAAAATCAAGCAACAGCAAACGAACAAACACTCAACAAATAAACACTAACATACCAAGTTTAGCCAGCATTACTTAAAAACCCCATTAAATTATTGTCAAGACTCCTAAAAGTTACCCCGAGATATGAAGGCAGAAATGTTAAGGCGTTCGATACAGGAAGCGACGGTAGCAAGGAAACAACTGTTAACTGTTATAGAGGCGTTGTATTGGTAATCGTGGCGAAGCCCGGCCTGTTCGTCAGCTCGTGTACTAGGTCTCATCAAGTCTGAGAGAGAGGCTGTGGCCTTGGTACATGGTTCAAACAGGGGGTCACGTGACTTAAGGCTTGGCCAGGGAGCCTGCCTATAAAATGGAACTATAATGATATATACTACACAAGTATTACACTGTTGACAGAAATATGATCCAGTCAGCAGTACATCACAAACTACACAGGAGGGAGACAGAAGCACCGACGAACAGGTCAAATATATACTGCCTAACAGTGTATAACTTGTAGAAAACATAGAAACTGTTTATATCTTCCAATTTTCGATGTCCCTGTTCAACGCGACTGTTTCTGTTAGCGACACACTGGCTCACATAGGCCTACTGCAGTGCTCCTCCATTCTTGTGTCATGTATATATTATCAAGTATATCCGTCTTCACTGCAGAGCACATGTCAAATACTGTGAGGAGGCTGATCAGTAGCTGGCCAGAGGAAGGGAAAAGGCTGGTCGAGCTGGAAAGAAGGAAGGGCAAGCTGGCCAAAAACTGTGTAGAGGGAGGGAGGGAGAACAGCAGGCTGGGGTACTGCGTACAACCAGTCAAGGTGGAGGAAGAGTGGGCGTCTCCCCATCGATCCTGGCCCAGTTGTGCCGCAGGTACACGCCCACTACCTGCCCTCTGCAGTAGAGCTCCTTCACAACCACGCCTGGCATCTGCTTCTTACTGTCCATCTTGCAGCAGAGTTTCACCACTACCACGCCCATCACCTGCTGCTACTTTTGTAGCAGAGCTCCTTTGCTACCATTTGTTTCTTGCAGCAGAGTTCGTTTATTACCACCTACTTCCTGCAGCAGCGCTTATTTACTACCATGGCGACTACCTGCTGTCCTTCCTGTATCCTGTAGCATTGTTCCTTCACTACCACGCCCACAACCTGCTTCTTGCTACGTTAACCCCAGGAAGTCTCTGTAAGACCTGCACTCTCGTATCGCAGTTGGTGCTAACCGCTAACATTACCAAATCCAGTTTGTGGCAGATTTCTTATCTCTGTATTGACGTTGTCACAGCATAGCTGGTAGAGCGGAAGGCTCTTAATTTTTTTTTTTACCCCTGGTTTAATAAATGAGATTAAATAAATGTGATCTATGAATACGTTTCAACTATTATAGTTTTTTTTTATTACAAAGACAAAAACTGAGGACAAGAGCTACACTTTGGCTTATGTTTTGACGAGGTCTCTCAAACGACTGATAGGTGAAGCCCAATATGTGTGTGTGATTATATACATATATAATATATAATATATAATATATATATATATATATATATATATATATAATATATAATAAATATATATATATAATATATATAATAATTATATATATAATATATAATAAATATATATATATAATATATAATATATATATATATATATAATAATATAATAAATATATATATATATATATAATAATATATATATAATATATATATAATTAAATATAATAAATATATATATAATAATATAAATATTTATATAATATAATAAATATATATATATATAAATATATATATATAATTAAATAAATATATATTATAATAAATATATTATATATAATATATAATAAATATAATATAATAAATATATATATAATAATAATTATAATATATAATAATATTATATATATTATAATATTAATATATATATTATATTTATATATATATTATATATATATATATATATATATATATATATATATTACAGAAAAAAACATATACATGAATACAATGGCACAATGTATCAAAGATATGAATTTCCTCCAGCTCCTCGGAGGCTGGACGTGAGCCAAGTATGCAGCAAGCATTTCCCCTCTGGATGGCGACGCTGAGGCGCTGGAACATGAAAGTGGCTGCCCTTGGGTCCCTGGTGGTGTCGATGAGTCTGGAACCCAATTCTTTAAGGAAACGTGTGGCATTTTTTCCCCATGATCCCAAGGTCTCTGATCCCACTGGGACAAATTGATACTGTTGGCTAATGTCCCTGTACTTGCTGATCTTGTACTCCTCCCTGTCGCCCCACACTGTGATGGATATAGGTTTGTCAGCCAGTGGGGGACACACAGGTATAGTCCATGTAAGAGCTTGCCTTTCTTCCAGGTGATGGTGATCCCGTCGGGGCTTTTGTGGGTTGTGGGATTTTTGCTCAAGTGATCGTGGCTCCTTCGGCAGGGAAATCCAGCTGTAGCAAGGTTCTCTTAATGATGTCGTTGACCTCATTGTGCTTTGGGCATGCCAGCCCTTGGTTTTGGAACAGTTAAGCCATGTAGACCTATGGTTTTGTTTGCACTTCGCGCAAATAACATATATTCTGTGTAAATTTGGGGCAGCAAGGCGCAGAGCACTGCAATACGGGGGTCTTAGGGTCGAGTGCGTTCCCATTGCCGATATGGGAACTGTTTGGAGGAAGTCCCCGGAGTGTGGTGCCTCACAGCCTGGGGGGCATCTCCTATTGATGTTTGCAGCCTGGCATGTTGGCAAGCCCCTTTTCAGCAAGTGGGCTATCCCAAGGTTTGGGACTGTTTGTGACCCAGTGCTGCCCCTGGGTTTGGTCTGGGCAGCAAGAGTCTCCCATGGGTTGCACACTGCAAGGGAAATTGGGTCTTCTATTCCTGCTGAGTCACTGAGGGTGTCGGAAGAATTTGTCTTATCACTCGTTTGATGCAATGGAGAGGATAGGAAAGTGGTTAGGCAATTGGGAAGGTCTGCGATCTGCCTCAAGCCTGACGGAAGTGAGGTTGCAACCACTGTCATCGTCAAGGGAAAGATTCAATAACTCTTATATTAATATATATAATATTTTTATATATATATATATATATATATATATTATATATATATATTATATATTATATATATATATTCTAAAATATAATATATTAATATATATATATTTAATTATTTATATTATATATATATATTCTATATATATATATATATATATATATCTATATATTATATATTATTATATATATATAATTATATATATATATTATTTATATATATTAATATATATATTATATATTATATATATATATATTTTTATATATATATAATTATATATATATATTATTATATATATATATATTATATATATATTATAAATATATATGAAAAGAATTGGATGTCTGGCTCTAACGAAACAAAGCTGAAGGGGGTAGGAGAATTTCAGTGGGGGGAAATAATGGGATTAAATTGGAGAAATCTGAGAGAGTTAGAGCAAAGGAAGGGTAGCAGTAATGTTAAATGATCATTTTGGGAAAGGGGAGGAAAAGGGGAATATGAATGTGTAAATTCAAGAATTATGTGGATTAAAGTAAAGGTTGGATGCGAGAAGTGGGTCATAATAAGCGTGTATGCACCTGGAGAAGAGAGGAATGCAGAGGAGAGAGAGAGATTTTGGGAGATGTTAAGTGAATGTATAGGAGCCCTTTTAACCATGTGAGAGAGTAATTGTGGTAGGGGACCTGAATGCTAAAGTAGGAGAAACTTTTAGAGAGGGTTTTGGTAGGTAAGTTTGGGGTGCCAGGTGTAAATGATAATGGAAGCCCTTTGATTGAACTTTGTATAGAAAGGGGTTTAGTTATAGGTAATACATATTTTAAGAAAAAGAGGATAAATAAGTATACACGATATGATGTAGGGCGAAATGACAGTAGTTTGTTGGATTATGTATTGGTAGATAAAAGACTGTTGGTAGACTTCAGGATGTACATGTTTATAGAGGGGCCACAGAAAATTTTCAGATCACTTTCTGTTGTAGCTACACTGAGAGTAAAAGGTAGATGGGATACAAGGAGAATAGAAGCATCAGGGAAAGAGAGGGGGTGAAGGTTTATAAACTAAAAAAAGGAGGCAGTTAGGGTAAAATATAAACAGCTATTGGAGGATAGAGGGCTAATGAGAGCATAGGCAATGGGGTCGAAGAGGTTTGGGGTAGGTTTAAAAATGTAGTGTTAGAGTGTCGCAGAAGTTTGTGGTTACAGGAAAGTGGGTGCAGGAGGAAAAGGAGTGATTGGTGGAATGATGATGTAAAAGAGAGTTGTAAGGGAGAAAAGTTAGATTTTGGAAGTTTTTACAAAGTAGAAGTGATGCAAGGAGGGAAGGTATATGGGAGAAAAAGAGAGAGGTT